CGCTTAAGTCGTGCTCCATGTTGACGGATTTGGTGAGCATACATATCTAACATTTTGATTGACATTGTCTTGGCTTGTACTTTCTTTACAGTTGATTCATTAAGAATTATGAAGTAATTAAAGTAACCAATTAGTTTATTTCAAAAAAGAAATTTTATTTTAAAAAAAAGTTAAAGTAACCAATTAGCCCATCAACTTGAGGTGGTGGGAAGAGCCCAACTTAGTGTAACTGTGTAATCACTTAACTCTTATCTTATGTTGATTTTTTAAAATATAGGTGGTGCAACAAGGATTTAAACTTTTGATATTTGGTTTTGATACTATGTTGGCAAATTAAGTTGGGTAAGCAGTTATCTCTAAGACTTGATATGATGGGTAAAAAAACCTTACTTATGCATAAGCCGCGGTAACTTTGTTTTAGACCAAGTCACTATAAAATTGTCCTCCATTGTGTATATGGATAGATGAAATGTGATTTTGAGCTTGTTAAATACACTTCTACTAGAAAATAATATGAAACTGGCTATCCCTGGTAAACTTAGGAGGAGATTTTGTTAAGTACCATTATGGAAACAATAATATTAAAATTTGCAATTTTCTGATTACCTGAAGCATCCAAAACATTTGTAAGTAGAAACAAAAACATACTAGAAATTGACAGGGTGACCTCCTCTTGGAAAAAAAAAAAAAGGCTAGAAAATGTTTTTCTTCGAGAAACTTTCCAAAATAAAAGAACTTTCTACTGCAGATTTGAAGAATTAAGATATGATAACATACAGTGTCAAGATAACATTAAAAAATAGGATTGCTATGTTACAAAAGGTGTTCTCCGATCCTATTTTATTCCTTATGCCATGTTTAGGGAACGGGCATTCTGTATTCCATTTTCACCAATATCTCCAATTGTTTATTGTATTATTTATTTATTTATATGTTTGATAGGAGGGGGTAAAACCAAGGTGAATTGTACCCAAGCCTCCCTTTTCTGGAGACTGGGACATAATCATTTAGATCTATAGGCCTTTGTTCTTGTATTCATGGCATCTTGTATTCAATTGCCATGCCTTTTATTGATATTTGAAATTCTCACTTGAATATCAGAACTGGGAAACCCCTTTCTCTTATTTGTTTTGCATATAGTCCGGATGCTTGAGCCTGCCCTGCATTTACATGTGAATTATAGTTCCTAACTCTGATATTCGTTCTTTTGTCATCAACAGGACAGTTACATGCTAGAAAAATTATATTGGATGCCTGATGTAGGACAAATAAGGGCTAAATTTGCCTACTAAGAAATTGAGTGAAAAACCTAGATATATAGCTAGGGTTCTCAGGCATCATACCTAAGGGTTGATAAAATCACACAATCAATTATGAACTCGAAAAATTATTATTTTATACTTGGATGATTAATAAGTGAAATTAGTGGCTACTTATTTCAAAAAGTAAGTGAAATTACACAGCTATTTATGATAATCTTTTCTTTACTAGATTTAAACTAGGAAATAGTAAAATAGTAGAATTGTGAATACTAATCCTAATACAAATAGATAAGTACTAATAAAAATAAAAATTCTAAAAATACTAAAATTATAATAATATTCCTCAATAATATAGATTCCTAGATAATATAGTAGTTCTACATTTGATATAATTAGAATTTCTAAACTAGTTAGGAAATCTATTGCTAGCCTATTTGACATCAATGCCATGAGCAAAAAGGTGGTCAAAGATCTGTTAGATTGTTTTAGAGGGTCATCAGGATTGGGTTCACTTTTTGGGATCAGATCAAGAACCCTAGATTAACAAGTAATTCATGTATGATATACAAGGAACTTGGAATGTTCCATAGAGCATTAGCTAGGCACGGGAACAAGATAAAAGCTAGAACCTCTCAATATACCTCTCTCCTAATATTGGATGCATGACAAACAATTTGATTTTTTATGGAAAGAAGAATAATATAATTATAACTTGTTGGTGTACTTGGGGGATACCCCACTGGTATCTTTGTGAATAGTATTTCTTTTATTTTCTTTCAAAAAAAAAAGAATAATATTATTATAAACAAGACACCCAAAAGATATCACGCTATTCAATAGAAACTTGCACATTATTGAGAGAAAAAATATCAATAGGATTTCCAAATCCTTTCCACAACTAAGAAAGTGACCATTAATCATTGACAAGTTGATGAGAAGGGGAAAGATTATGGTGAATGGTTGCTATATGTGAAAAAACGCTGCGGAGACTTGTATTCATGTACTTCTATGGTGTCCGGTAGCATACAAGCTATGGATTATGTTTTATGGGTTATTGGGAATTAATTGGGTTATGGCTGGCTTGGCTACAGATGGAATCAGCATGTGGAAGGATACTAGTGTTTGGAGGAAACATGTGGATCTCATCCCGCTCACTATTTTTTAGGTGGTTTTGGAAGGAGAGGAATAAAAGAGCTTTTGAGGGGGCAGCTGATGATGATGACTTTGATAGAGTTAGAATAGATGGTTCCCAACTCTTGATTTTTTGATTTTTGGTTATCTTCTCAATTCAATGGACGATTTAGGTGACGTTATTGACATTTTGGTAGATATGTAAATATTTGTACACTGGTTGACATCCATTTGTTGCTTGTTAATCAATGATATGTATTATACTTTTTATTTCAAAAAAACTAAGAGAGTGACCATTAAACAAAATACTTAAGCTTTAGGACCGGTAACCTCTAATGCTAACAAAAGTAGAGATAATGCCATAAAAAACTTATTGTTACTTTCTTCCAAATTACCTAAAAGTAGGACTATTGGAATTAGTCATCCTAGATGGAATCTAATACCATTCCATGCCCAAAATTTTCTCGTAAGCTAAGCCTTAGCCACCTAAGACATATTAAGAAAAGAAAGAGCTGAATCCCATTATCTACTAGCCTCCAAGCACCAAATGAGGATATGGTTTGGTATCCACTCTCTTCCAAGCACATAATATATCAATTGGTAATGATTCTTTTTCTCAAGTTAACAGAATTAATTGCCTGTGTGGTTTCCCATGCAGAGCAAGCTATATTTGGGAAAAAGCTTTTTTCTTCCAAACTTGCTCCCAAAGGAATCTGGAGATCTCGAAGCTTGGGAAAAGACTCTGGTAAAAAGACTTCACTGAGAACAAATCGTTTTTGGAAAGATGCCTTACTGGAAGGTTGGAAATGCAAAAATTGAAATGACAAGAGGCTAGGAAAGTCAAAAGAGAAGCATGTCATACAGGAAGATTCCAGGACAGTAGGATATTTAAAGAGGGATAACTAGCATGATTGACCAAAATATCACTGGTCAATGCATTTCCTTGCCTGGGATGCACAAAGCTGCCTCGGAACCAATCCTAAACTTGGCTCTCTCCTCACCAGTGTCTGCCCAGGAACACATCATTGGCTGTTCCAAGCCTAAATGCAGCTATTCTGTGAAAGAAATCCAATTTCCTGATAAATGTCCAGAGGCTAGTGCCTAACTTGTCTTTTTCAGGCCATTCTCCAGCCCCTACCTCTTCCATCTTTGGCAACAATTACTGCAGTTGACAGGCTACTTCTGCAATACATCACACTAAAGCCTTGTTAATTACAGATAGATATCTAAGCCAAGGCCCCCCAGAATATTAGCCTTGTAATATCCTAGGCCACATGGTGGTAGCTCAGTTCATTTACTAGGATAGGAATGCAAAATTTTGTAAAATTAGGCATGAGTCCCCCTATTTGGTGTTAACTTCTCGGTTCTTTTTATTTTCCTGCTTATCTATTAAGGTTTAAAAAACTATATTCATGTTTCTTTTCATGATTTCTAGTGAATTCATACTCTTTTTCTTTCATTATGTTAATTTTGATAACATGCTGTCGATCTGATGCTGCTTAGGTTATGTTTCAATCCTTCTACCACTGAATCCTTTGATCATATTAGAGAGCATTTGGAGCAATCTGGATTGTTGATCATATCCCTATGACCCAGATAGGGATTTGACAACCATGCACAACCTTTACCCTAGACTGATGGATAAGGAGTTGTAAATTGACTGAATGAAAGAGGCATCGATAAGTTCTAATTAGGTATTACAATGTAAATAAAATGAAATTCGAAGTAGTATGTCAAGGACTACAAGCCTTTGTGGGCTAAAACTTGGAAATCGGTGTGAATCTGATTATTTAAAATGAGGCCGTAAGAGAGAATACAAGGAATAATGTAGTCCTGAATAGTGCATGACTTTGGAGAGATCCTCATAAGTCCTTGAATGCTTTTCTGAATGGAAATTGCATAGAGGATTTGAAACATAATTCCAAATATGTTTTACTAAGTTATCTGTTTCTGATAATAGTTCTGCTGAGGTGCAACAACCAAAGGACATAAGAAGAGGTCTAATTACCCTTCTTTCACTGTCTTTATATATATCAGATTTGGCATTAAATTTACAATACCTTCTATTGATGCACTTGGTGCATAAATTTACCGATAGTTTACCTTTAAAATATCATAGTTCTTTACAATTTGTTTGCAAGTATGATTAATCTCCTTTGTGTTCAGGATGTGTTAAATTATCTGGAGAAAGCTTTTGGTGTTGGCTTTGTGGCTCCAAGTGAAAATGGTAGCGCAGGACAACAGCAGCCCATGAATCTGGTTTCAAAATCTTCTGTTCCAAATAGTTCATTGAGCACAGATGCTTCTGGTTCAGATTTAGCTGCAAGTATTAGTGCTTCAGAAAGTCCTCTATCGAGAACTCTATCGGAGGAAACACTTGAGTATGATAATGTATTGTTAGAAATTGGGGGACAAAACTTAGTTAGGTCTGTCGGTCTCTCGCATTCAAATGATCTTTCAAGGGCCACTGTTGACAGTTCTATCTCCACTGTTGATCTGAAGCTGAAGTTGCAGCTTTACAAGGTCAGATTTTTGCTTCTCACTAGAAACCTGAAGCTGGCTAAGCGAGAAGTCAAGCATGCAATGAACATTGCACGTGGGCGTGACTCATCGGTGGCTCTCCTATTGAAGTCACAGCTTGAATATGCTCGTGGAAATCACCGTAAAGCCATCAAATTGTTAATGGCGTCAAGTAACCGAGCAGAAACAGGAATTTCAAGCATGTTCAACAACAATCTGGGTTGCATTTACTATCGCCTTGGTAAATATCATACATCATCAGTGTTATTTTCCAAGGCACTAAGTAATGGTTCCACTCTTCGGAAAGAGAAGCCTATGAAGCTATTAAGTTTTTCACAGGATAAATCTCTCCTAGTAACATATAATTGTGGTGTGCTCTATCTGGCCTCTGGAAAACCTGTACTTGCTGCTCATTGTTTCCAGAAGGCAAGCCTGGTTTTTTATAAACAACCTCTTTTGTGGCTTCGTCTTGCTGAATGCTGTCTGATGGCTTTACAGAAGGGTCTTTTGAATACTCAGGCTTCCTCTGATAGATCAGAGGTCAGAGTCCATGTTATTGGCAAGGGGAAATGGCGGCAGCTTGTAATGGAAGACAGGATTTCAAGAAACGGACTCGTGGATCCCGCTGAGAAAGATGACATGTTTTTGGGTATTGAAGGGCAGCCGAAGCTTTCTTTGTCCCTCGCTCGGCAATGCCTATTTAATGCCATGCACTTGCTTAATAGTTCTGATTTGCATTTTCCTAAGTCTGGCCTGCCCAACATTTCATCCTTGGAGGAAAATGGATCGAGTGAAGCAGGACTATCCAAGAGTTCTAACCACAAAAATTTACACACCATTGATCCCAAGGCATCTAGTATACCGATTGGTTCAGGCCAGGTTAATGCAAATGGGGATGTTAAAGAACAGAAGGGAGGAACAAACCAGGAGATTGTGCAGAATTCTATCTCTTGTTATAGAGGTATATGTGGAAGGGAAAGTCTTATGATTAAGCAAACTCTTCTTGCTAACCTGGCGTTTGTAGAGTTGGAGTTAGAAAACCCTTTGAAAGCTTTATCAACTGCGAGATCTCTATTGGAGCTTCCGGATTGTTCAAGAATATATATCTTTCTAGGACATGTTTACGCGGCGGAGGCTCTCTGCTTGCTGCATCGGCCAAAAGAGGCTGCTGAACATTTGTCAACATATTTGTCTGGAGGAAATACTGTTGAACTGCCATTCCAGCAAGAGGATTGTGAGCAGTGGCAAGGCGAAAGAACTGTCGATTGTGAGGAGTTGAATGGGGGACCAGCAACTGCCAAGGGTTCTTCTCTGGAGGAGCCTCGAGACTTTATGTTGATGAATCCGGACGAGGCACGTGGAACCCTTTATGCAAACCTTGCTGCTGTGTACGCGGTACAAGGTGATCTCGAGAAGGCCCATCACTTTTTGCTGCAGGCCATGTCCCTGGTACCCAACAGGCCTGAAGCTACTCTCACTGCAATTTATGTCGACCTCGAGCTTGGTAAATCACAAGAAGCTCTTGCCAAGTTAAAACAATGTAGTCATATCAGATTCCTTCCTAGTGGCTTACAACTGAATAAATCTTCTTGATGATGTATTGTTGGCTTTAATTCATTGCGTCTGTTCCCCCTCTGGCAGCACACTAGGTAGCAGCAGGTAGATCAGCAATCCTTTTAGAGGATTTGTAACATATATATAGTTCAATTCAGAGAATAAGTTTTTCTCTCCTTTTTTTTTTTTAGTCTTTTCTTTCTTACATCTAGGTTTTCATTAATCATTGGTGCGGCCAAGTGTTTTGGTAAGAGCAGGATGCCCGCCTTCCAAATTTGAGATGTAATTCTGATTCAGATTCTTGTGGTTTTGTGGCTAATTAATTTCTTATTCAAGTATAGAATGACCGGTCGTGTTCTTCTCGAGGTTGAAAACGAGAAAAAAAGGGATTATTATTCTCTTGGATTTGAATCCTCAAGTAATATACTGCTAGTTTCTCCTTCCATTAGTTTTTCCCCTATAATTTTAATTGCCTTCGAAACTTTCCCTGTTCGGGTCTTTTTATCTCTTCTTTTTTTCTTTTCCAAACCTCAATCTAATGTTATGCTCGGGGTGGTTTGTAATTATTTTGGTTACCGCCAATGTCTAGGCCATAATTTTTTGGCGATTGACATGTGGGGGCAACAATGAATCCTACACCAAATGATGTCATTTGGCCCAGCCGAATACGACAGCGACCCAGCAACTCAGCACATTTCCGCGTGGGTTCCCATCCTACAGGCCGTGTCTCCTCTACTACCAGACATAATATTTTGGTGATTTTCTGTTACTTGATGATATATTTAGTGTCAAATAATTCACTTCAAAACTCAGTAAACAATAAATAGGAAAAATTAGAACTGGTTCCAAACTCTTAAAACCATACCTAAACCAACTGAAGTCGGACTAATAAATTGGCCTATTTACCATCTACGCCGTAATTCAAAAAGTAGGGAGAATTTCTCTCTTCTTACATACACATATACATAATTTAGAGGAGGGTGATATGAAAAACAAAACATCTGCCCCAGCGGACAGACACCGCCCACGTTACAAGCTTCGTGTGCCATCTTGTCATCTGGGTCCCTTCTACTTTATAAATCAGGTTTTAACTCTCCACGCCTGACGCAAAGGTAAATCTTTTAAACTCCATAACTCTACAAAGTCAAAATACTGGAGGTCTACACTTCCTCAAAATTAGAAATTAGTGGTTCAACTCTTGCACAGTGAAAGAATAAAAAACATATATTTTAATGATAACAAAGGGTATTTTTCATTTAATTTTTAAAATTTTAAAATCCTTCTGATGATGAATTTTCACTTTGCCAAAACAAGATTACTTAATACTTGAAATTAATATAAATTACTTAAAGGCAACTGTTAATATATTTTTTCTATATATATTTTTTTAAAGAACAATCTTGAAGCCATGGATTTTCAGGCCGCATATCTTGGTGTTGAGTGATAAAGATTCCTTTGAGGGCCACCACTGTACGGTCCGTCTCCGTCGTCGTTTTTCTTTATCTATTGCTGCGTTTGATTGCGAAAGCAGAAACCTTAGCTATGTAGGGTTATTTATTTCCATGTAATATAAGAGTTTAAATTTAAGTGATACTGTACACACACACACATATACATATATTATTACGTATGTGTATATACTCGGAGGCAAACTTCTTTGTGCGTATACATATATATATATATATATTGGTGGCTCAATTATTGGTAATGTTTGATTGGGGGAATCTGTGGGAATGCTCATTGCCCATTGGAACTCTAAAACCACCTTTCTTTTATCTCTCTCCTCTCTTGCCCCTCCATTGTACACGCGTGCATGGTTTTCTTTTTCTTTTGAGATTATTAGTTTAAAGAATTATGGTTTAAGTTAATTACTTAAAAGTAATTCTTTGTTTTAAATAAATAATTATATATAAATTTTAGTAATATATAATAAGGAGAAAGAATATAAAAATAATAGAGACTTGGAAAAAATGAGGAAATAATTCGTGCAATTGGTTGGTTGTCTAAACACAAATTACATAATATTGAAGATTAAACTTACAAACAAATGGTTTACACAATAATCAATATAACACAACATCACCAAATTCCAGAAGAAGAAGAAGAAGAAGAAGAAGAAGAGAGAAAAGAAAAGAGATTGAGGCTCGACATCCTCTCATGTCGATCCATTTCATCCATCAATTTTCTACCAACCTGCAGATATATACATACACAAAATCTAATAAGCCCTCGCATTAATAGATACAGAACAATATTTGGTACACATTTTCGACAAACATAACAACCAGATTGCTAAATATATGCGTATGTACATATCATCATTTCTCGTTCAACTACATATGCCATGCATAATTAGAAGGGTATTAGAAATTTTGAAACAAAAAAACAATTATTTCCATTTTTACCTAGTTTTTATTTTCGGAAAACAAGTTTTTCATGTGTATTTATATATATGACATATATATTGAAAAGAACAAGCTGATATATTCAACTACAGGACAAAATTAAAAACCACAAACTGTATATTTTCAAGAAGCAAACAGATCAAATCTGTTGAAAACTATGCGATTCTGATAAGAACAAATATGAAATAGAAAATAATAACCATAAGAAGAAGCTTACTGAAAGAAGAAAAAAACAGAGAAAAAAAAAAAAAAAAGCAACAGAAGGTGGAAAACCAGGGTTAGCATAATGAATGTGACTTAACTGGAATCTATCTTAGAGAGAGCAGGTGTAGCCAGGTGGTGGTGTCTTGCCACAAGTAATGAGAAGCTGAAGAGCAATTGGCACGTAAACGTTGAGGTTCAGAAGCTTCAACTTCAATGTCGTGCAGAGGCAAACAGCAGCTTCAAGCTCCACGAGCCCTTGCAAGATGGGGCAGCACTCATTCACCGCCGGGTCACCAATTCCAATGTGCACTAAACCGCCCAGAAGATCTACACAAGCCCCCAACTTCAGCGTGTCAATGGGGCACGTCGCTGGCTTCGGCGTCGGCGCAGGTCCTGGTGGCGTGGGGCATGGTGTCTTCCCCTTTGGTGGGTTTGTTATCACCGGAGGCACTGGAAGTACCGGAGGGACGGGAAGCACCGGAGGGATGGGAAGTACCGGAGGGATGGGAAGTACCGGAGGGACGGGAAGTACCGGAGGGACAGGAAGTACCGGAGGGATATTGATCGGAGGCTTGACGATGGGTGGGATAGGGACGATCGGCGGCTTGACAATGACCGGTGGGACGTGGACAGGTGGTTTCTTGGGCTTGGACTTGTGTTTCTTGGGAGGCTTGCAGGTGCCGCAGCCGAGAATGGGGGCTGCGGAGGAGATGAAAAGCATGCAAATGAGGAGGAGAGCGGAAATCTTGGAGGTCTCCATTGTTGGTACTGGTAAAGTTTATGGAGAATGGAGAAGGGTTATATAGGATACAAGGAGTGAGAGTTCAGAGTTTAATGGAAGAAAACAAAAAAGAAAAACCCTAAAACCAGATCACGTGAACTACCATGTCAATAGAGGAGCTGCCAAATTTTGCTAGTTGGCAAACAAATACGTGAAACCCATATGAAATTTATAGACATACATACACATATATACGTACATACCTATAAGTGCATATACATTCAAATAATTAATCAAATGATAATCTTATCTCAAACTAATTTTTCTTGTTTTCTGAACTTGCCATCTCTTTTGGTTATGTATTATTGGGTGTGCATGTTACAAGATTTTATTATAATTGATGTATGTATGTATGTAATTTTGGATATACTCAAATATATATATATAAGTAGAGAAAGGGGTTGAATGAAAATCACTTTTGTGCTTAAGACTTATTCATGCAAGAATGAAGCTAGCTAGCTAGGGTGTTTAGAATAATTTCAGGGGCCAGGGATGAAGCACTTTTTGTGTTTCGATACATGTGGGTGGTCCATTTTGGCTGCTGCCAAAACTTATACAACTAATATGCATATACATATATATGTATACACATTGAGAGACCACACAAGGTAGCCTATTTCACAATTTAATACAGTATTATACGCCACCACTACCATTTCCCATGGATAAGATCGTAACATAAAAAGTTGATAGTATATGTTCATGTATATCTATATTTATATATCTTTTTTTTTTTTTTGACAGAGACTCATCAAGTCAATTATTGGGTTTAATTATCTTGTTGGATCTCTTCAATGGTTATCAAAGTACATATACTTGATTCATACGCATATACATACTCTTACGAGCTCTGTTTTGCTTTACCATCTTTGGCAAGGTCAATATAACTGGAGCCCTTCTGTTGCGATCAAAATCATGATCATTACATATACCATTTCTCAATATATATATATATATATTATAATATAATAAATATAATTTTCAAGAACATCATCTATTTTTTTCTTTTTTTTAAAGAAATAAATATAGTTTGCATTCACTTATCAATCTTAATCATTTACAGTATCACAATTTATACATACACATACACATACATATATATATATATACACGAAAAGAGCGTGGTAATTAACAGAGAATGTAGGATGAAGAAGAAGAAGGAGGGACAGGGAGGGAGGCAGGCAAGCATTGGATTAGACATGGTGTGAGAAGAAATGGAAATGGCATGAAACCAGTCCGTGAGTTTTTAAGCTGTATTGCTTTGGTTTCTTCTGCGTCCGTGAATCCTCTTTTATTTATTTATTTATTTATTTTTCTCTCTGATGTGATTGGTCGCCTGTTCATTACTAATACTTACGACATATATATATATATGTATATAATATAAATATATATATATATTATTACATTCATATTTATTAGAAGTCTTCTACGTTATAAAGGGCTCGAGCCAAATCCATTTTTTATTTGGCCTCGTTATATATTAATATAAAATAATATTGATTTATATTGTCACAATAAAATTAAATTATATGCGCTTATAAATTACAGAACTAGATAAAAATTTTCGTCATTTTAATAATATATATATATATATATATATCTCTGTGTGTGCGTGTGTATATATATATGTAAATAATGAATGTGTTTGGGCCATCCGTCAAATGTGGAAGGAGGAGACAAGGGGAGTATTAATTGGGTTTTGTCGGGTGTGGCCTTTCCACACAATAAAATTTTATGTCAGTTAGATCCGACGGTCGAGATTCGTTCTTCCAACGACTGGTCCAAAATTATATCAGATCGACGTCCAGATCTGGTGGCTCTCGTTCGTTTCCGATCATAATGTTTCTGATAATGCAATCCTGTTTGGCGGTTCTCAATTATTTGTCCGCGAACCCAAAAACAATCACCTACAGAGTACAGATTAAGCTGCCCACATGGGCTGCACGTGAAGACCAGCTCTCTCCTGTATGCATATGTATCTCTCTCTCTATATATATGTATATTATACGTATATATATATATATATATATGTATCATCTACCAAAAACTCAAGTACGCGAAGAGCGTGCCACGTCTAATATGAAATGGGTCAGGCTAAAATTTCACTATCGGTGGGCTGAAATATTTGCTCAAGTTGGATAAACATGTCGGGGTGATGAGTTTGTATAATGGGCTTGAAAGATGAAGAAGAAGAAGAAGAATAAATGTATAACACTATTTTACCCCTATATATATATATATATATAACCCTTGTAGTAAGCATTGTGCATATGTGCTTTTGAAGTTTTAACTTGGTGATGATAATAAGCATTGAACGTTGTACACCATGTATCAAGCGAGCATGCAAAGGAGTAAAAAAAAAAAAATAACTTTTAAGAAAAATAAGAAGCGAATAATTCAATATATATATATGTATATGTGTATACACATGTATTATGCATGTATTTACGTATCACCAACCAACTTGTTTTGGCAAATGATGTTAAATCTTTGTCCATTGTAGTAATTATGTCGAAATCTAGAGTATGGAATTATGAACATCATGAATATACTCATTTCAAGTATAAAGTTGATCAAGAATACTATTATTAACTTGCATGCATATTACTTTTCGAGTTAGCGTCTACTCAATACTTTTCATTCTCGAAGTACATCTAGTGAGTCTAGGTTCATGAATTTCCCCCTCCCCCCTCCTCCCAAAAGAAGCTATTGCATGTTCATAAATATTATTTTAGCTTCTTCCCACCAAACCCACATCTAGAAAAAAGAGAAAAACCGAAAAAAACAACTATCCAAAACGACATCATTTTGCTTATTTAGTGTTTCTTAGTTTTCTATATTTAACCAACAAGTTACTAACTCTTTTATATTTATCTCGATTGAGAGAAATTCTCAATCGATTGATCAAAACCACCATGCCCTAGTTTCTTCTCCGCCACCTTCGTCTTCACCCTTTCTCTTTTGATCTTCTCCTCGTCAAGTTTTTTCAAACAAAAATAGAGGAAGATATAGAGAGATGGGAATTTTTTATGGGATGGTGGCAAGGGGTAATGTGGTTTTGGCAGAGTTTGACTCAACGCAAACGAATGCGAATTCAATAGCTAGACAATTGCTCGAGAAGATTCCCAATGGTAATACTAGCAGCAACGCCTCTTACTCTCATGATCGATTCATTTTTCACATTAAGATAAACGATGGTCTTACAGTTGTATGCATGGCCGATGATGCCTATGGAAGTAAGCTATCTACATTTTTCTTATTGCTCTTTTTTTCTTTAAATTTTATTTGAATTATGATTAATTGAGATTTGATCATCATTTTTTACGAAAAGATATTTTTATAAAAAAAATTTATATGAGATAATAAAATAGATGTAAGAAAATTTTGAAAATTTAAAAAAACTAAATTGGTTTAAGTAAATAAAATTGATTAGTTTATAAGAAACAAAATCGAAAAATTGAGTGCCCTAAGTTCCTTTTCCATATCGAAAGTTTCGATTCTTAACAAATATGCCCTTAACCTTCTCCTTTTGAGGTGACTTGAATTCTTTTCTTCATTCATATAATTACTATATTAATGTTAGTTAAATGAATAATATAAAAATTAGATGAGAATAAAAAACTTCGAGATGCCATCCAAAAATTCAAAGTTTTTAATACAATGGATGCACATAAAAAAACTAGAAAGTTTATAATAAAAGTGAGATTTTGATCTTAAGAAATTCAATTTAGATTCACGATAATCATACGAGAGTTTCGATACTTTTTTTTTTTTTCAAGTTATTTACGTAAAATATACGAATTGAATTTTTATTGACTGATTAACAAAAAAAATGTTAAGCTTCTGTGACAAACTTTAAATTACACGTAGGGAGGATTCCTTTCGCATTTCTTGAAGATATTCATCAAAGATTTGTTAAGACGTACGGTCGCGCAATACATTCAGCTTCAGCATACGCCATGAATGATGAATTTTCAAGAATCTTAAGCCAGCAATTAGAGATTTACTCGAATGATCCTAATATCGACAGACTAAATCGATTGCAAGGCGAAATGATTCAGGTAATTTTTCTTAACCTTTCAGATAGTCTCAAGTAAAAAAAAAAATAAATAAATGAATTCAAGAGAAATTAAAAGGTAAAAAAAAAAAAAATTGATTTTAACAGGTAAGGACGGTAATGATGGATAACATCGAGAAAGTTTTGGAAAGAGGGGATCGTTTGACGTTGCTAGTTGAGAAAACGAGCGCCATACAAGGAAATGCGCTGAGATTCAGGAGGCAAAGTAGGAGTTTCAAAAGTACAATGTGGTGGAGAAATTTTAAGCTAACGTAAGTCGGATTCTAAAAACTTTTCAACTTAAAACTTCAAAAAACCTAAACTTTTGTATTCATAATCGAGTTCTTCCGTAACAGAAGAGCATCGAATCACGTCACAACAAATTCGAGGCGTATCCATGGATTTATCTAAAGAAATTGTAAATTGTGTTGCAGGGTTGCATGGATGTTCATAGTTTTGATAATCTTGGTCTACCTTGTGTTGGCATTTGTTTGTGATGGTCCTCTCTTCCATTCCTGCTTACACTAAAACACAAAGCTTGCTTGTATTTGTATTTGTATTTTACCACATCTTTTATTTTTTATTTTTTAATTATATTTTTAGTTTTGTTATTTACAAAATTAATTGTAAATATTAATAAATTTTAAAATATTCGAGTGAAGGCGAATAATTTGTTTATGATTAATATTTATTTAAATTAAATATAAATAATTTTTTTTAAATCAAGAATTAAATATTTTAATATATATATATTTTTTATAAAACAATATTTTATTCCCAACGGAGGAACATCCGACAAATTATAAAAAAGACACGGGAGCCGTCGAGAATTTACACGAGACCATCCAACTGCACCGTCACTTCCACTCAGGCCGCGATTCTACGCTGACGACGCAGTCTCTGCTTCACTCTCCCCGGTAACTAATCCGTATTCGTTTTGTTGCCATGGAAAATTGATTATTCCTTGCGGTGATTTTCTCGCTCGTTTAGCTGATTGGTGTTAAAATTCAAATCGCCGGATGCTGGGGTTATTTCGCGTCTATACAGGTACACTCTTCTGTTTTCTCTGAACAGCTAGGAAATTAAGATGAAGATATGAGGAATTCGTGTATTCAGCTTAACCAATTGTTACGAGGGGCTATTTGTTTGATGACAAATTTACTTGGTAAAATTTCTCCTAATTTGTACCGAAGCGAATTTTATTTTTAGAAATGAAGTCATGCTCTTGTGTATTCCTGGTATGCTTGTTGGCAGTTTATTTGTTTTTTTTTTTTGGGTTAAATCAAATTTCAGAGGTTTGCAATATTGACAGCCCGTTGCACCCTG